GATGGACCAGAAACGCCGGGATGGGCGTTGTTTCAACTGTGATGAGAGGTATACTGTGGGCCACCAGTGCGCCAAGAGTCACTTGATGCTGCTAGTCGGGAATTGGGAGGATGAAGGCGAAGAAATGGAGAAGGGCGTCGAGGGAGAAGACAAGAAAGAAGAGGGCAAGACCCATGGCCCACCTTGAGGGCAAGGTGGGTTTCAAGGGGGATGGATTGTGAGAAACATAATTGTTGAGAGTCTATTTGTTATTTCGTATTATTCAGATATTGTCGGATAGGTGAATTATGGGGGTTTATTCGGTTAGGTTAATTATTCGGGTAGTAAACAGTAATTAGTCAGGTTATATAAATATGATGTTATGTTAGGTCAAGGGCAAGCAATAATACAGAATTGTTCCCAACTCTCTCTCTCTCAACTCACCCTAGCCGAACCCCCTTCCTCTTCCTCTCAACTCGGCGGCTCCCATCCCGGGAACCGATTCTGCTCTCTCTCTCTCATCCCAAATTTCCCCTTCTTCCTCACCTAAATTCCCAATCCCTAGTTCGTTTAATCCCTAATTCGCACGCCTAGATCCGTGGTTCTCACATATTGTGGATGGAAAAAAGAAGGTGAAGCGATGAGGAAGAGAACAACGATGCTTGCCAGAATGGCACGAAGAGAGGCGGAGAATTGCAACAATTGCAGTGACCCGAGAGGACCAGGAGAGTGATGACCTAGAAAGCGATGTAAGCGGTAGCGGCGAGAAAAATTAAAGAAGAAGCGGTGGAAATAGAAGGAGACCTAGCAGGCGTCGATGTTACAGATCCCCATATGTTTACTAATAATCGGTGTCCATATTCGTGTACATATCTCAACATTTCATCTGAATCATAGAGGCCTCAGTTCTGACAATTTTTGTTCAAGGGATGGAGAAAAATATGCCCATAAGTTTTGTAGACGGTGGAGTTAGGTTGGGAATTGTGGTGGTAATGACATATTCGAGCGATTCTCTCTGTATTCGAGAGGATCAATAGATTTCCAACCAATTAACCAATTTGCTGAGAATCAATTGATTCCGGGGAAAGTTAATCTGCTAACTTGAAAATTCGTTAGCAGATACTAACTGATATCCAAAATACATGAATTAGTATCCAAGTACTAAAGTATCTAGAGAGCACAGACTAGTATTCAAAGTTTGCTAACTGATATCCACCATGAATCAACTATTATCCCAAATTCACAAACTAATATCTAGACAACACAGAATAGTATCCATATAACACATAATTAGTATCCTGATAACACTTAAGAGTATCCAGATAACACATAAGAGTATCCATATTGAATACTAGTTGGTTGATTGTGGATATTAGTTGGTATCTGCTATCTGAATACTAGTTTGTGATGTTTTGAATACTAGTATGTGTTATCTAGATACTCAGCAGACTTGGATATTAGTTCATATATTTTGGATATTAGTTAGTATATACTAACGAATTTTCAAGTTAGCAGAATAACTAGGCTGACTTTTCGGAGGTCATTCATCCTTCCCAAACGCATCATACAAATCTCTGTTGCATAGCGCTTTCCTAGTGTGCGTGCTCCCCTCTTCTTCCTTACCATGTGCATTTCGAAATAACTCTGATGCAAAGAAATTTTCCCACTTTTCCTCGACTGTTTTGCTGAGATCCAGTCATATCCCAATTGTGTCTCTAGGAGGCCGACAACCACCAATTTCAATTGGAGTTTTGGCTTGTCACGATATCAGTTTGAAAAGGAGGGTAGCAAAGATGACGAACACTCCGCCTATGTGGTGGATGATGGGCGCCTGTGAGATGGAGATGCAGAGGAAGAGTTTTCGGGCACGGGTTGAGGCAATATGACATGAGATTTTTATGACGTAGTAGGTCGGATTTTAATTTTTTAGGGTTAAATTTGGTTGAGAAGGTGATTCTGCTAGTCATGGCAACACAAATCTGATATCGTTGACAAAGACTAACAAAGACTATCATCCAGTGGTCGAATTGGGACTACTGAACTAATCATAGTACCCACCAAGAAATAAAATATTTTTAGTGGCAAACGTGAAATATTTTAGTAATTCAAGGGACCAAACTTGCAACTAACCCTTATTTATTAGTTGGAGATAACAAAAAGAATTAAACAATACCAAACATCCACACATGCTGCCATTCACTCTAGCAAAACTCTTGTTCGACGCCTATGTTCTTTCATCATAATCTTCTACCTCCAGCTTTCTAAACCTCAGTCACACCCACTAAAGCCATAAATGACACTCACCTCAAGTTTGGAAGGAGGACCACTTGAAAGAAAGAATGACATCACCGCATTTCTAGCGGCAGGTCAGCGACGGTGGCAGAGAGATGGAGGCTGTTGTTCGATTATTTTTTTCTCGTTTTTTTAACTCGTACACATAAGTATCCTTCTATCTCATGGAAAGACTTTTATCTTTTCCCTTTTAATATTTAATGGACGATTTCTCTATCGTTTTAAGTCGGAATTTTTTTGTTGTTGCACAGATAAATCAGATTAATTATGGTCTTTAAAATGATATCCACTTTGATATATTTTTAGAACAAAAAAAAATTGAGGCATTTTTTACCAGTCAATACCATATGGTAAGAAAGCGTACCATGATGGTATGAATATACCAAGACTGTAAGAAGGCTGAATACATGATAGTAGGAGTATACTAACTGTCATTACGACTTTCATCGTTGTTTACCACAAGTTACCACTCCCATACCAGAGTGGTAAAGTATGATAATTTTTTGTCTTGTATTTTTTTTACCCATTTGTAGATCCAATAGATCATGATGAAATTGTTCATTCTGAGCAAATGTTTTCAAAAACGACTTAAAACGAAGAAGTTACCATATGGTATGGAGTTGGTAACGGGAGGTATGAAAAAAAATTTATCAAAAAATATTAAAAATTGATCTCATTTTATAGAGCACAACGAACTCGTTCCATCTGTGAAAAAAATTGAAATCCGAGTTAGAACGAAAAAGATAAGAGCCGATTAAGAAAACTAGAAAAACAATGTTATTAATTCACAACCCTTAAATCTAAATTTTCTGGCCCCACTTAGATCTAAAGGTCCAGATTCAGTTACTGACCGTATCTTCAGTCCTAACAGAATGCGAAAATGTAGGATTTATGGGGGTGTTTGTTTTTTAACTTATTATTTTGTTTTAAGAGTAACAATTAAGTAATTCCCCGTTTTAAATTAGGACAATACTAATAATGCTAGAGCGACGTTTTGCACTGCATTTTTATTAATATTTTTTGTCAATAATAAATACAATTATTTGATTCGTGGAAGTTGGTTTTATTTTTGTTACTATGATAATTTTTAATTCTCTATTTCTTTTGTCTTGTTTCTTGACTCGATATTTTCTCAGAGTACACAACTTACTAATGATAAATAGATCAAAGTTTTCTAATGTTTCAGGCTCCTGATGGTAGGGGTGGGCAACCGGTTCGGTAAACCCGAACCGAATCGAACCGAAACCGAACTAATGCTATTCGGTTCGGAATTCGGAAGGAAAATATGGATATTTCGGAAATCAGGGTTCTTTCAACCGAACCGAATTTCCGACCGAAAAACCGAAATACTGTAATTTCAAGCTCAAATGGTGGATTTTTATGTTTGTATTTGTTTTTAGACATAAATATTTGAAATGTTTTATTACTTATGTGTTGAAAAGTTTGATTTTATCATTGATGATGCATATAATTACATATTTATTGTTTATATTAAGGGTGAAAAATAATTTAAAAGTGAGAAGATATAAGTAGCCTCTCAATTTCGGTTTTGTGTATAAAACCGAACCGAACCGAATTATAATTCGGTTTAAACCGACCGAACCGAATTTTAATTCGGTTCGAATTCGGTTTGGGGTTTGGGAGAATTCGGGGACCCGGTATTCATAATTTCGGTTCGGTCGAAACCGAACCGACCGAATGCCCACCCCTACCTGATGGTCGAGAGGTTTCATTTCTTCTATGGGTAGTGGAAGCATGAGATAAAACGATAGAAGTATTCCACCTTAGCGATCGCGCCGAAAACCTAGACCAATTGCTTCTCCCTAAAGTGATGCACTTGGATCGCTTTACCATAATGCTTTTGTTTGTTGACCGCTTGCCACCTCATCGATCTATATTGATCTCTTTGGTAACTATTGTATTTTGAGAATTTTTGTAAGAACTAATGTACTTTTGAAAAAAAGAAAAAGAAAAAAACCCTTGTTGTTGTGGAGTGTCGAGTCCGAATCTGAATTTTACGTCGCTTAGCAGTTGTTGTCGGCCGCCCGACGGCCCTTCCTCACGTGATACGTAGGGATGACAATTTTGACCTGACTCGTTTTACCCGACCTGTTTAACCTGTTTTGGGGCGGGTCCGACCTACCCTGTAGGCAGGGCGGTGCGAGCATGAGTACCTCTCGTCGACCTGACCTGCCTTGGCCCGCCCCATTCTCGACCCGTTCTTGCCTAAATTACATGTAATCTTAGTCAAATTACTTATAATTTTCCTCATATTATCTCATATTTTAGCTGTAATAAAATTGTAAATAAGTGAAAACCTCAATTTTTTCAATACTTTAATTACATTTATCATATTATAGTTTATTTCTTGGTCTTTTAATGAAAATAATGAATATTTTTAAAGTTTTTCACATAAATTACATATCCATTGGGTCGACCTGCCCCAACAGCGCCCAATAATAAATTACCCGACCTGCCACGGGGCGGGTATAAGTATCGAGATACCGGCGATTACCTGCCCATTGCCATTACCAGTGGTACGCTACCTCTGCCATTTTCGATACACTGCTGCTTGCTTACCGACAGAATTGGCTCGGCGAAACACTCTGAAACAACCGCTTGCTTCTCTCGCCTGTCAGGTTAATATGACTACTCGCATCTTCTCCGTCCTTTGCTGGTAGATATTAGGGTTTTTTCAATTGAAGAACCTTTATCTTAGAACTAAACCCATGTTCCTCTTTGTATTTCCTCGTTCGCCTTCATTCTCAATCTCTCCCGGGGTTTACAAAATTTCCGGTCTAAGACTTCACTCTTTATTGGCTGACAAGCTCTACACTCACTTGCAAAACAACCCCACCAACCCGGAAAGAGCTTTGAATTTGGTCAAGCCTAAACTTGACGCTTCATGTATTAATGAAGTTTTGCAGAGGTGCTCCCAGAACGAATCTCAGCTGGGTCTTAGATTTTTTGTATGGGCTGGCTGTCAGTCAAATAATAGACACAGTTGTTACACGTACGACAGGGTTTGTCAGTTGTTGAAGGTCAGGGAAACCCCGCAAGTTGTGTTGCATTTAGTCGAGGCTTATAAGGAAGAGAAATGCGCCGTTAGTGTCAAGATGTTTAAAGTAGTTCTTCATTTGTGTAGAGAGGCTAAGCTAGCCAATGAGGCTCTTTCTGTGTTGAGGAAAATGTCTGTGTTTGATATTCGTCCAGACACCAATGCGTATAATTTAGTTATTAGGTTGTTTTGTGAGAAGGGTGACTTGGTTATGGCTGACAAGTTGATGGGAGAGATGGGGTTGATTGACCTCTATCCTGACATGATCACTTATGTATCAATGATCAAAGGTTTTGTTGATATTGGTAGACTGGCAGAAGCTACTCGTTTGTTGAAGGTGATGAAGAGAACTGGTTGTGCACCTAATGTTGTGGTGTATTCAACTCTTCTTGACGGGGTTTGTAAACATGGGAGTATTGAGCAGGCTTTAGAGTTGTTGAGTGAAATGGAGAAAGGTGGGGATTGTTGCCCAAATGTGGTCACATATACCTCTTTGATTCATGGTTTGTGTGAGAAGGGTAAGACAATGGATGCACTTTTCATTTTTGATAAAATGGAAGACTCTGGTGTGTCTCCAAATAGGGTGACAGTTAGCACTTTGATCAATGGTTTTTGTGCAGACAGTCTTTTGGAAGAGGCTTATAAGTTGATTGATAGAATTGTTGCGAGAGGTAGTGTATCTTTTGGTGACTGTTACAGCTCTCTTGTCGTGTGTCTATTGAGGACAAAGAAATCTGAAGAGGCAGAGAAGGTCTTCAGGAGCCTTTTAGCTAGTGGAGCCAAACCGGATAGCCTGGCATCCAGTCTTATTATTAGGGAACTTTGTTCCAAGATAAGGGTGCTTGATGGGTTTTACTTGTATGAGGAAATTGAAAAGATGAGCTGTTCAGTTACCCTGGACTCTGATATCTACTCTATATTGCTGCTTGGGCTTTGTCAGCAAGGTTATCTTGTGGAAGCTGCAAAACTTGCAAGGTCAATGCTTGGGAAAAATGTGCGGCCCCAATCTACTTATGTTGACGAAATAGTTAAGCATGTAAAGAAGTTTGAGGATAAGGAACTGATTGGACTATTTGGCTTGTAGATTTGGATAAGAGCCATGGTAATGCTGCATGCTTCTTCTCTATGTTGCAACTTATAAATTTCGTTTTGATTATTATAAGTTTGAGATATCCTGTTTGGATGTTTCGAAATGTAAGAATTGGAAAGGCTTTATGATAATTTCAACTATGCTTGTTTGAAATGCTAAATCAATTAGGGGTTTGGTGTGGTAGATGAATTTGATATTCTTGTTGTGTTGGAAGTCTGTTCTTTTGCTTGACAGCTCTGTTATCAAGTATCACAGAGTTGAAACCTTTTTCCTTATGATTTTCAACTTCACTCACATTTGACCCATTTTGCTGTTGTCCCTTGATGATGACTTATCCGAATACCTGTGCTTTTGACCTTATGGTTACTGGTTTTTATCTTAATTTACTTCTTTATAATTACTTGGATATATGGTAGACATGGAACTTATAACATTTTCTGAAAGCTCTTTCGTACTCAAATCAGAACTTATAATGTTAGTATTTTGTAAAGGGCCATCTGGGTTTAGGCCGTTGGTTTCATACATTAATTTATCCATTGTATTTCTGTGTTTTCATTAGGTGGTGAACTCACCAAATACAGCAGCATAACTAATGGATGCTGAACGGATACATTGTATTTCTGTCTTCCGATAGCATATAAGCAAGCTTTAGAGGTCAGAGTAAGCCTGTTTGCTTCCCAGTAGAAGAATGCACCACTCTGGTTCAGTATTGTGAGTTTCTTACTGATATGACTCATTGATTTGAGTTTTTACCATGGAGTGTACACTTCAGCAGGACCTTTCGAAGCATACGAAAAGGAAATGTGACACTCTGCCTAGGAGTCATGCTCTGGTGGGACCTCAAAACATCGAAAACTTGCAACAACCTCTCGACTCTTTGCGGAAGTTTTCTCTGGAAGATTATGGAACTACTTCCTCATTCAATTGGATGTTGGTGGGTTTGCATTCCTTGGCCATGCTGATCTATTATCACAGCAGTATTAAAGAGCAGCTTGTATTGGTTTGATTATCGGCAAAGTCTCACTGATCGATCAACTGTCCAACATTTCTTGTTTCATAAGGCAATGAAGATTGGACTGATGTAATCATTGTTAATGAATGGTAGAATGCAGATTGTGTTTGATTCCAGATGAGTATCTTGCTAGAGAGAACAATACTTGTTCATTCCTTGTCTTTCTTTATTATTCCCAGGAATGATTAATTGGTCATTAAAAATAGCGCTTCCAAAATCATAAATTTACAATCTCAGAAGTACAGAAGGAAACAGAGAGTTATCTCAGTTCTGAATTAATAGATTAGATGCACATAATAAAATCGAAAGCTATAGCCTACAAGGAAGTTTAACAAGTAACTGATTAAGTATGCAGTTACTACTGGGGCACATAATAGAGACACTAGCTGTAGATTTCCAGCTCGCTGCCACAGTGGCGTCGTTGCTGCTCCCGAATCTCGGAATGTATCAAGCTGCGGATGCGAGCGTCGTCGCACTCGTTCTTCAGGCGGGTCCACCACCGAGGCGGCTTCGGTTTGGCCTTCGTTTTCGCCACCGCCCGTGTCGCCGTTGCAGTTGCTTCTTCACCTTGGGACGTCCCAGCTTTTGCAACCGCCTTCTTGTTGGTGGGTCCAGGCAAGTGAAAGTCAATTACCTTGGAGCGCTTCCTGTTCCTGGCCTCCTCGTGCGCCGCGTATCCTTTCTCCAACTTCCTTTTGCTCATCTCCAACTTCCGCTCGTAGGTCGACGCCGCATCATCATCATGTTCCTTCGCTGTGATTACTGCTGCTGTCGGCGGCGGCGGCGGCTTGGAAACGGCGACATCTTTTGTTGTCTTGGGGGAGCGGCGAAGGTCGACGGTAATTGTAATGTTGTTGATGTTGTCGTTTCTTGATGGCGGCTTAGGGTTCTGGGCCGTCTTCTTCTTCTTCTTGGGGATTGTAGAGGCTTGCTGTTGTAAAGCCTTGTCCAGGTTGTGGAGGATGTGGGTTTGGCGGGTGGAGAGCTCGTCCGGCCAATGGAGCGCGGCGATGGCTAGGGCGGAATCTAAGATCTCCAACACCTTCGATTTTGGCAGCGATGGAAGATCCTCGGGCCCCACTGCCCACGGCGGTAAACTGAGAGGAGCCGTCATCATCTTGATCAAAGACACTAGAGAGAGAGAGAAGGAACTGAAATCGCTTTGATCAAGTGCTGAGCGTGGAGCGATGGAGAAATTGTAGTAGAGAGTGAATTTTGGAAGCACTAGTAGTTGCCTATTTATGGGGAAAATGGAGATCGAGTAGTGAGTGTACTGCCATTCCTTTTCCTACAAGGATTAGTAGCCTTCGGAGTTCGGACAGTTGGCTGCTTGCTGTTCAAGGCAAAGCAACACCAAGATTCCTTGGTCGTTCCTGTTTTCCGTCGAGTACTAGGAATCTCTTTTTTTTTTTTTCCTATTCTTTTCCAACTCGGAAACGGAAATAAACAGCTAAACGTAGAAGACGGGCGCCGGGAAGCCCAATATTAAAGGCCCATATACGGAAAGGTAAGTTGCTACTTGCTACGGGGACACACTACTGGATTAGGACCAATACTCTGGCTGATCAGAAGATGGGCACCAGGAAGCCCAAATATTAAAGGCCCAGCTCTGGAATCTTACCTCCATGACAGACCAGCCCAAATGAAACGCAGGCTGCTTGACGTTGACGAATAGGAATTTTTTTTCCAAAATACACATTTAATTAAAAACAATTCTCAAAATACATAATCTATATTTTTTTTTTCAATTTACAATTGTTTGACATTCACCGCTAATGCAGTGAAGCAATTCCCCGCGCCTAACAAAAGCAGTGAAATTATCATTGTTTTATCCCCGCTTGAGAAAACAGCATTGAATGATTCCCCGCTTTTGTCAACAACAGTCAGATAATCACCATCTTAATAGAAAATGGGGAACACTTCATGGCGGTGAACAATTGCCACGTTTCCCACTCCTGGTAGGTGAATAATTATGTCACAACCACCTAACCTTCACCACCTTATGGCAACGCGGTGAATGCCTTCACCACTTTGGACAACGGGAGTGAATGCACCATGTTTATCAAATAAATATCCCTAACATGTAGTTGTTGGAAAAATACTGTCCCCCACTTCTGCGTAGCCTCTCCCTCATTTCTCTCAAATTTAAGCAAAAATCACCTTTTCAGCTTGCTTCCAGCAACTACGGTTATAGAAACTCCAATATTTCGGTATGATATAGTTTTGTATTGTTTAGATTTTGATGTTTTATTAGTTATATGTATGTATTTAATGAATTACTGTAAATGGCAAATATAAGTAGTTAGAGATATTTAGATTAATTATGGTATGATTGATGTTAGTTAGTTATGAATTTAGATCAATTTGTTTACTATACTCATATTAGTGTAATGCTAATTATGGTTCATGTTTTGATTAGTTGCATTTGTTTATGAGTTTGGATGATATTATTTTCGTAGCCCTAAAAATATGGTTTTGGTTAATATTTCTGTAGCCCTAATAGTTACTTATTATAAATTGCAGATATGGGTAAATTCAAGAAGTTCTAGTTTCTTAGTCGATGGAATGGTCGCGTGACAAACTCTGATATTGGGATCAATTATGAAGACGGTGAATCCACTATGTTGAAAATTGAGTCGAGATTCACGTGGCAAGAACTTCGTGACATTTATGCATACATAATTTGTATGGGCGGACAGACGAGAGTTGGTAAAGTTACCTACCGGTATCTAGACATGAGTGCAAGTGGGGTTATGTACGAAGCCTTTATCATAAACGATGATGACGTGGTTACCATGATATTATAGTTCCTAGGCGACAATGGAATGCGGCTTGCAGAGGTGTATGTTAAGACCGAGACGGTCGGTAAAATTCATTCTCACCGGTATTCTTATGATGATGGTTTTGCAGGAGGGTACGGATGGGGTGGTAGTTCAAGAAACTACGGAGGAGGTAGTTCAGCAGAAGGGGTGCCATGGGAAGAATACCGGCAACTTGCTGAACCTGCCCTGTTTGTTGAGCCCGACGGAGTTCAATGGCCTGACATTGAGAACACCGTTAGATCTGGGCGTACTTTGCAGGAGCTAGAATTCGATGTTGGTGATGGTGATCACAATGATTCTCCTGGCTCGAGCTATCCATTCGACTCCAGCGACGACGAAAGTGAGGAAGGTTTGAGATCAGTGAGCGAGAAGGAAGATAATGACGATACGGACGACGAGGTGGCGTTTCGTGATCCACCAACGCCATATTACACAGAGGTTCCATCTCAATTTTTATATAGTCAAAATGATACCCTCGACTTTGGAGGTGGGTATGGCGTTCCCATCGAAAGACGCTGTATAATATGCTTTTAGCGAAAAAGCCATGCGACGCACTTTTGAGTGGAAGGTAAAATATTCTGACGGGAACAACTATATGTCATATGCAAGAATGCTGAAGAGGGCTATATGTGGCAACTGCGTGCTGCAAATATGAAGAGAACGAGTGTCTGGGTCATTCGAAAAGTAGAGAACAACCACAGCTGCTCCTTGTCCATTCTTTCCCAGGATCACCGCCAACTTAAAGCAAAGAAAGTGGGGAGAACCATTAAACACTTGATTGAGGCATAACCAGATATCAAGATCAAAGCTACCATGGCTGAGGTGAAGGATCGACATTCCTACACGATCAAGTACAAGAAGGCATGGCTCAGAAAGCAGAAGGCCATGCCTGAGGTGTATGGTGATTGGGACGACTCGTATGCTTTACTCTCTAGACTAATGGCCGCAATGGAGGAGTCCAACCCTGAGACTGTTTTTGTGCTATGTTACGACAATGTACAATCTGAAGATCAAGTTCGAGTATAGAATGTGTTGATGTTTCACCGTCTATTTTGGGCATTCAAGCCATGCATTGACGGGTTTGCCTTCTGCATTCCAGTGATCCATGTATATTACTGACTAATTATTGTTGTAAAACTTCATTTTTTTTAACTAAGTAC